CCCAGCTTGTGGGGCACTGGTTCTATGCTGGGAGAGGCAAGTCAAAAAGACGTAGAGCTGCTGCCCCAACTCACTCCAGTGAGTGTTCAGCTACTAGAGTGGGTTTACCATTCGGAAGTCTGCCATTGTCCCCACACCAATTAACTTGGCTTAAGAGACTTTCCTGAGGAAAAGTAGGCCATAGAACTAGGAGTTCCAAATGTCTCTCTATAGGAATTCACTTCATTTGCAACAGTGTGACGTTCAAGCCTTAGAGCACTCAAAAACATTGGAGGTTGTGGTGAAAGGCAGTTGGCAGGATACTATTAGACTCATTAGCCCTATAAGCTAAATCCATAGACTAACTACTTTCCCAGGGAGAAACAGAGAGATAGCTGTGAAGAATACTCCTGAGGTCAGAACAAATCTCAAACACTAACCTAATGAACTATCCCTTCAAAAGAGCTAGAATGGATCAGTTTGCGAAGCAATTTATGCCACAGGGTATTGTTGAAAACAACAGACTGATTGGCTGACAATTAGTGGAGCCTAACAGCTGGTTAAGGTCAAGAGTCACAAAAGACCATATATACATTTGTATGAAATGTTTAAAATAGGTATATTTATAGAGATAGAAAGTGGATCAGAGGTGAGATGGCTGGAGAAGTGGATGGGGGCTTAGGCAAGTGACAAAAATGAGGCTTCCATTTGAGATGATAAAAATGTTCTAAAATTGACTGTGGTCTTGGTTCCACTTATCTGTGAATATACTAAAAAGTATTGAATTGCACACGAATTGAAGGTGACGTGTATCTTAAAACTGTTACTGCTTGAGTTCCTTGTCCTCTAACTTCTGGAAAAAATGTATTTTCTGGTTTATAAGCGAGATCTACCAAAATACGTTAAATGTGTTTGATGACACCTAAGTATCTTAGAAACTAAACTTGTTTTTTAAATTTAAACCTCAGTCTTTCTCTCCAGTTCCCACTCTTTGGTCCACTGAGCATGCTGAGGATTGTAATACTTCCTAAATGCTCTAGTTCTACTGCCAGACCATATGGCAAAGTTAGGGACTGCCTGAGGAACTTAACAATACATAATTCAACTTCATCCCAGAGACACTGATTCATTAGGTTCACAATAGGGCCCAGAAATACATATCTTAAAAAGTATTACAAATAATGTGAATAGCCATATAGATTTGGTGACTACTCATAGCACAAATAGGCCCAAGAACATTCTTCCATGATTCAAGTGAGCTGTCTTCCCTCGTACAACTCCCCACCGTGACATAACTGATTTTTCAAAAGTTAAATCCACCTTTTACACATTTTTTCTGACATATCTTAATTATGCAACTATAACATGCATACAACAGATCTACATGAACAGTAAAGACTGTTCTCTTTACCAGCACAGAGACTACAGTGAGTGTTTTTTTTTTTTAAGCTACTTTTCATAGAAGGCATTATTTGGCTGGTAGGTTTTTCAAAATTTAGTATTAACTTCTGATAAGAATACTTTTAGTTTTTCACTCATCATAAGCAATTTTACAGAAGTAAATGCTTCCAAAATTAAACTTTAGAAAAAGTACTTTATTTCAAGACATAACAAAATTTGGATAACAAAAAAATAGGAGATAAACATCACACAATGTTAATGGGAAAACATTAAAGAAATCGATATTTAAAAGAGTTATGTTCTCCCTATAAGGCACTCTATTGACTTATGATCCATTTTCCCACTATTTCTACTGAGAAAAACTGCTAGATGAAGGATTTAAGAGATTTGCTAAAACTTGGAATAGAATTTTCTTAGGCTGTGGGAACATCTCGATGTGTTATAAATAGAACAGACTGTCACAGTTTGGAGATTGGTGGTTCCAACCACGCCCAAGTAAACAGTCTTAAATGTCCTCTAACGTATTATTCTGTCTTCTGTCATAGTATAATTTTCTATTGATAGCTGTCAATTCAGATACGCCATTTAAATGCCTAAGTTCTTGCAAGTAGTTAATATTTTAATGTCAGAGAAAACAAGCAAACATTACAAACCTCTACGTCCTCTGCCAAAAGATTACAATAACAGCTCACTGAAAAAGGCTTACGGATGTGAAATGTGCTTTTGAGAAATAAGTAAGAAGGAAGGTAATGCCCAATGAAGAACTCAATCATATTCTGACTGTAGCCATATGTTCATGGAACTGACACGGAACATTCTACCGCAAAATGTCTTTATATACTGTATACTGACAGAAGAAAAAACCTATAGGAGAAGCAGCCAGGCTAGCTCTACTAGTTTTATGGATATAACGAAGGGCAACACTTCTAAAAGGTCAATGAGTAAACAAGGTATTTATGCCAGTTAACAATATGACCTAGACAGTTGAACAAAACAGTAGATAAATCTGTATTTTTACAGCACTAAACTCAATTTCCAAATTAGCATATACTTTTATATGAAGTATTACTTTTTCTATATTCAACAACAAATATAGTATAACTAGTAGAGGAATGATTTCTCTCCAACTTTGAAAGCTGTGAATAAATCAACGTGCCAGTGACCTACAACAGGGTAAGTATTTATTTGACTTTTGTGGCAAAATAACAAACTATAGCTGTATTTTGAACACAGCATCTAAATATGAAACAATGCCCTATTTTTATCTCCTATAAATTGGACATAAAATGTACATAGCCTGGGATTTTATTTTTCCCTTTTGGGAGTAAATTTAAACTATATGAATAACTTGCTTATTACCAAGGAAATGCAGTGCACCAAATCAAGACAAATGAACTTCAAACAAATTTGGCGTGCTCAACAATTTGCAAAGACATAAAGAGGCAGTAACACATGAGATTCTAACAGTACCAAGTTATCTTTGCCTACTGAATACTCCAAAATGGAAAAACATCCAAGCACTGTGGAGGAAGAAAGAATATCCAAACTATAGCGACAATGAGCTTTTACATAAAATTAATACTATAGTGATAGCCAAAATGCATAATTAAAAAAAATTGGGAGGCTCTCTGCTATCGTTAATTATATAGTATTTTGTGTTATTTTAGATAGGCGAAGATATTTGAAGAAATTCAAAAACAGCTATAGCATATGGAAAGGACATCATAATCTACATAGGTACAAGCTGGCCATTCTTTATGTAAGCAGATAAGGAAAAATCACACAGCTTTAAAGAAGTAGGAAGTGAAGGGAGTTGCTCTATTAGGTATATCAGTATGATCATACACCCATTAATTATGTCTATTAACCACAATAGAAAGCAACAGGAATATTTTTTCAACCCCAAGTGTTCTTTACAGTGTTTCCAATGCTAGGGAAATAATTAGTGTTCCTCTTTTCAGAATAAGCAATATTTTCAGGTTTTTATAGAGCATATACCTTTTAGAGAAAGGTCATCAAAAACGACCAAATACAAACAAAATTTCTGTCTTTTTAAATGATAAGGGGCCAAAAAATAACATGAGTTTAAAACTAGTAAATAATTTTCTCATTATGTGAGTCATATTCATCTCCAGCTTTGCTATTCAAATACCACGTTCACAAATATAGCTATTTCGGCCAGCTATCAACATTTATTGTCTGTCTCTGTGACCTAAATCTATAGATCTCTGTCTCTAGATGTGCAGACCTTGATGGTCAGAATGGGCAAATGAGATGCTAAGAACAAAAAAGAAAAGAAATCCAAAAAAGTCATTGATTCAAAGGACAACAGAATTAATGATTATAGTGTCTAGGCCCCAATATTTGGAAATAAATGCATCTCATTAATTTTATTTCAATTCTTTACATAGTTTGAAGAAATAAAAGGTTTGTGTTTGCTGAAGCATTTTAATAACAAAGAACAGTAAGGCCTATAATTGCATATTCTTCTACGTATTCATTTATGTATGGTCATGACATATTTACATGTGACTACAGACTTGGTTAACATGTAAGAGTAAATTGCAGTAAGATGTCTCCACAAATGGGGAAAAAATGCACATTTCAATGAATGCAAATATATACTGAACACCTATAATGTGACAGTATATGATAAATGAAATGTTACAAGTCATTAAAGTTTCAATGCCAAAGTTCACGTGTTGATTATTCTTAATTTAGATTGAGATAACTTTTATTAGATTTACTTCTCGGAAAATGTGCCCAAGTAAAATAGAAATTTCTTGAATTATGGTCCAGAATAAGTCACATAACAATGGCTGAGGAAATCTAACAATCTAGAGATTCTAATGGGTTATGGAACAACTGAAGTTATGTCTGTAGGAATACAAAATAAAGTTTATAACCTCTGTCAATCAATCCATCAGGCTCATACATTTATTGATAAATAATACAACCAAAAGACAAAGACTGTATATAATGGCAAATCATTTACTACTTTTACTTTGATTTTAAGAAGTAACAGTAAAATTAGGAGGTATAGAGCTAAACATTTTTCAGCAAAAGATGTCCAATGGCTTCCCATCACACTTAGAATAACGGCCTCACAATTCCTGAACGCCAGGCTAACAGACTGTGCTGTTCTTAGAGCATACCAGGTATATAAAGGGCATTTGTTGCTCCCTTTGCTTGAAATGCTCTTGCCCTGGATGTCTTCATTCAGATCCCTGCTCAAATATTGCCTCTTCAGGAAAAACATCATGACCACTCTATTAAATGTAGCACTCTCTAGCTTACTTTTTAAATAACATTTTTAACAGCAATTTTTTTCATAGCACCTGGCATTCATTATATTGGTTTTGTATTCTCTCCAACTCACCCCACTAGAATGGTCAGGCATGTGACTTGTTCACTGATGAATCTTTATAATTTTTGAAGGATTAATTTACCAAACAGCAAAAACTGGAAGATTAATATTAAAGAATTTGCAACTCTACCTCAGTGCTATACATATTATCTTTCCATACAATATATGCATGCTTTAATATCTGCAGGTTAAATAAGCATTAAGAGTATATCAGAATATAGCTAAATTAAAATAAGCACAAAATATTCCTTACCTGAATTTCTAAAATCATTCTGTCAATCTCATCTTGTTGGCTGTCTATTATCTAAAACAAAAAAATAAATACATCTGATTCAAATAATTTTTACATCACTTCTTAAAAGTACCAACATTTCAAGAAAACACAGCACAGAAATTTATAAATTTATTTTTAAGAAGGGTCTTTTTAAAAAACTGAAAGTATCCTTATGATTTGGATCACACAAGTATAAAACTACAAAAGACTTCCTCTAGTTCTTGATAAAACTTTTCTCAAATTTATACAATTTTTAAGAATAACTTTGAGACAAACTGAATAATTAAGGAAGGAAAAAGATATCCTTTTGTTTTGACTTTTATTTGAATTATTTAATTTTGTTTGAATTGCTATGGTCCTTCAAACAAAGACATTCAAACTGCAAATTATATAAGCAATTAAATATTTACAAAATATAAATCACATAAAGTAGCTATAAATTATGTATCTATACACACATATCCACTTAGTATAGATTTCACGTTTATGATCAAAGGTATCTACTGACCTTACTAGCAGTCTCATTTTGTTGTCTGAGATTATCATTTTCATTCTGAAGCTGTTTTGCATCTAACATGGGAAGGCGGATTCCATCTTCAAGGCATCTTTCTACTTTTTGTTGCAAACTATTTCAAAAGACAATTATATGATGAAAATAAGCTCTATTTGCTGATTTTGGTAATGATTTCAACATAAATGATGTCCTTTTTAGGTTCTGTATTTTTTAATCAACCAATAATCAAGACCCACAGACAGTATATGAAAAAGTGTTACTTATATTTCATACAAGTAAGAAGGGTCCATAGTTAGCTAGAGGCTGATCTTTTCAGAAATGGCAAATTTGAGACCAGAGTCCAGAGTTGCTCAGTATGTGACATCCTTAGGCCCAGATGAAGTTCTTCATTACCCAAATCTGAGCTCTGAAGTCTAACTCGTGTTCTTCACTTTTCCCCTAAAAGCAGAGTTCCTTGATTAAGATGACTGTTGCACAGAACCTAAGAATATGTATACACATCTTTTGTCCTTTATTCTAAGCTCAGCAGAAGTTTGCTTGTAAGAATAGCTGTTGCCTAAACCATCAGAATTACATTTCTCTTTCATTTCCTTTTTTTTTTTTTTTTTACTTTTACTTTAGGTTTGTGGGTACACATGCTGGTTTGTTACACAGATAAACTCATGTCATGGAGGTGTGCTGTACAGATTATTTTGTCACCCAGGTACTAAGCCTACTACCCAAGTTATTTTTTCTGCTCCTCTCCTTCCTCCCACCCTCCACCTTCAAGTAGGCCCTAGTGTCTGTTGTTCCCTTCTCTGTGTTCATGAGTTCTTCTTCATTATAACTTGACAGAACACTTTCTTATGCTATCCATGGAACACAGTTGCATTTTAGAAGGGGAAACAACAAAAGTAAGACTGCAGATTCAAAATAAAAAGGCAAAAGGGGCAGAGGGGGAAGGTGCTAGAAAGAAAGAATAGTAATGTTTGGTTAAAAGAAGTCACATCATTAGACAATAATTACCAAAACAAAACCAAAATAATAGCAGCAAGAAACCGGAAATAGCTCTACTTTAGCTTGAATCATACTCAAGCATTGCAGAGTACTAAAAGGAAGACTTCTTATAAATTGGGTTTTGATATTTTCATTATTTTTCTTTTTTTCAAGAATTATGGCTATTCTATGCTTTGTCTTTCAAAAACAGAAGAAATGCCCTATCCAGATTGTGAAAAGAGAACTGACAGTCCTAGATGGTACAATAAGGGCCTCAGATGTTTACAAATAATGGCGCCAGAGACATTTGTATTTATTATCGATGTAGTGTACTGCTGTGTAATACATTGTCATAATTATTTGCTTTTTTCAGTCTGAAGTGTAAAACAAATTATTTCTATTTCAGAATGAGATTTTTGTTTGTTTTGTTTTACCAATTCAGTGTCAAGACACTACTTCCAGACATTTCATGAGAAACAATATGTATTAAAAATATTAAAGTCTTTCAAATAAAAAAATGAGCCAGCTATGAAGAGAGGAACTGTCATGGCAAAATGCTCAATAAATTTTATTTCATTTATACATTTTTAGGTTATATAACATGTTTAATTCAAAAAGTAAAGTATCTCTTAAAGTGGTACCTACTACTGCATTACTAAGGAGCTCACCCATCTTTTTCACTTTAATTTTCAGGTCTAATGGGAAGCTTTTCTTATTTAATGTATAAATTGCAAATGTTCTTAAGTATTCATAGAACAGGAAGCTTAGAAATATTATATAAAACAGATAAATGTAATTATATAATTCACAGTCACATATACATCTGAAGTTCTTTGGAACTCAAGGAATATTATCTTATAGAGCTGAAAAAACTGTGATACCATCCTCAACCCTTTGATCCTTTATATCTATTTGAAATCAAGAGAAATTTTTGGACATGGTATCATCTCTGATAGTATCAAGATGAAATTTAAAAGTGGAAAATGTTATCTGAAATGCACCGTACTAATCTTTCCAAAACAAGAATATGAGGTTCAGTGTTTCCACAAAACCTAATAAAAGATAAAGTCTAAATAAAAGAGAAAGCATACAATCTAAAAGCACACAACAGAACAAAGCAACACTCAAATTATTTTCAGGTGTGGCTAATTCTGTTCCTAAAGCAACACAGCTTTAATTTATAATTATAATGCTCTATATGACAGAACAGATATAGTGTCTCTTTTCATTTTATCAGTAAAGATGAAAGAAAAAGCTATATGGTTGAATTAGTGCAGATCAGAAAGTTGTTCTGACAATAAAGAACAGGGCATAAGATGAAAAGTTATAAAAAGGAAAATTTAAGAACAAGCAGCAGAAAATAGGAGACAAAAGCAGAATTAAAGGTATATGATTTGTTTTGGGAGCTGAGATGATGAGAAACGTGTGTTTTCTCATTCAAACTGAATTGTCCCAGAAATCAAAAATTTTTTGGCATTGAAACCCAAAGAAAAAAGTAGGACAAGGCATATTTAAGACTCAAAGTAGTAGTAAAGCAATAGTAACATGAAATTAACATGGAATCAGATGGATTTTTATTTAAAAGCTAAGAATAAATTGAATTGTAAAATTGATGTAAGTATGAAGATTGTATTTCTTGCATTTCGCTTCTGTTCCTTTGTTGTTTTATTCTTCAGGATAGTTTTATCTATTTATAGTTGGTAATATTAAGGTTTAAGTTTTGCAAAACAGAACATCCATATCTATACATATAAAATACTTCCTTAGGTTTTTCAGGGATCCAATATTAATTTCCAAGTTTAATAAACACAAACTGAATTTGCAAATGGTATTCATTGTACTTACAACTGTATTAATTGAGTCCCATGAGGCAAGATATGTAAGTAAATCTGGAAGATAGATGGCAAAACTGCTGTATCTTTTACTTGCAGTAAAGGGAAATAGGAGCCCATTACTTCAATTTGATATATTCCATTAAGGAGTGCAGTTCGAGTATTTTGCTGGCCCCTTTTTTGTTATTTACAATTTTTACTTATTTTTTTTGATAAAGCCATTAGATAAAGGGTTTGTATTAATATTTTCAGTCTTCATATGTATGAGTTTTTATTTTTACTATTTTCAACAGAAACTTTTGGCAAGATATCAATATATTGTTGAGACTCCCTAATCCAAAAACCTGAAATCTGAAATGTTTCAAAATCCAAAACTTTTTGAGCATGGAAATGATGCTCAAAGGAGATGCTAATTGGAGCATTTCAGATTTTGGATTGTCAGATTAGAGATGCTCAGTGGGTAAGTACTTGGCAAATATTCCAAAATCCAAAAAAATCTGAAATCTAAAACATTTCTGCTCACAAGCAGTTTGGAAAAGGGATGAGCATCCTGTAGTACATCTTTAAATTAAGGAGAGTAAAATAACTTATAAATTAGTTTAAGTAAAATGTTTTATGAAAAATATGAGTAAAATAACATAAAAGGATTCATAAAATTTTCTTACCTCTGAACAGTAGTTACTAACTCCTTTTCTTTCTTTTTCTGGCATATTAACTGTGTCTCTTTATCTTGACACTGCTTTTTAATCTCTTCAATTTTTTTTTCTGTATCTACCAAAGCCTCTTGTAAATTCTTATTTTTTTCTTCCAGAATCTGCAGCTAAGGAGAAATTTTTTACAGTTCATTACACATGAAATATTAAATATGCTTCTATTAGAAACTGTTACCGTGTTGGCAGGGATTGACAGACTTGTAGCTAAAAAAAAAAAAAAAATCACACTGCATTTTATCTAGAGTATTAGCACTCCATCTCCTCTGTGTGAAAGGCACCTACAAGAATGGAATTACAAGGAAGAGAATGGGGTTAGAAATTTGTAGAAGACTGAGAAAGGTTAATTTTAAACTTATTTTTCTTTTAATTGTAATAAATATACAACTTTATACTGTCTTAACAATTTTCAAGTGTACAGTGCAGTTGTGTTAG